TACTATAGTACAGGGACTTTCGCCCAATTTTTGAGCAACTTTAAAAATTCATTAAAAATTCAAATTTGATCGGAATCAGCTCAAACTTTCTACGCAACATAAGTACATGTATATGTATCAGAAAAAGTTATAAAAATGGAGAAATTTATACTTTTAATTTTTGATGAAATTTGGCCAAAATCCCTGTACTATAGTACAGGGACTTTCACCCAATTTTTTAGTAACTTTAAAATTTTATTAAAAAACTAATTTAATCGAAATTAGCTCAAACTTTCTACACAACATACATGTAAGTACATGTACATGTACATATTAAAAAATTATAAATTGAAAATTTCTTTCTTTAAATTTTTGACAAAATTTTTGGTCAAAATCCAAGTACTACATGCCATGTAAATGTACAGTACATACATGTACATATACTGTAAATCCCCACCTGGATTATGTTCACAAAGTAATTCTACAACCTCCGCACAATCAAAGAACACAGCATAATGTAAGGCATTCATGTCCGTCCAATGACACTTTAGATCAGTACTGGCACCCTTTAATGGAGGAGGGGGAGAGAGAGAGAAAGAACAAAAGAATTATATACATACATGTACATGTATTAGTGATTAATAAATGAATTAAAATTGAGTTATGGCCATTTTTAAAGTAGCAAATGTTTTAGAAAATACCCTGTACTATAGCAAATGCTTTTTGCTTTTTTTTCTGAAAAATGGGTACATCCATGCCATATTAATACATGTACACAGCAAGAGTGCTTAGATTCATTTATCACAAAATGAATTCTTAAAAAATTTTATTAATCTAAATGCATGCACATGTACATGTACAAATAAACTAAGTTTATTCAAGCGAGCCAAAAACATCAAAATTAAAACTTATCCAAACAAATACAATTATCCCAATCATATCCTAATAATATCCAAACTAATAATGGCCCATACTTTATTGAGTAAAGTGTTAACGAGGTTAGCAGCTGTGGTACCATTACCTATGCCCACAGCTCCCGCCTTTGAAGCAAAGTGAAGCAAAGAGAGATCAGTTAATCCATCCTTATCATTAACATGTGCTCCTCTTCTTAATACCTGTTGGAATATGAGGAGAGAGAGAGAAAAAATATTAAAGACACATTGCAAGTGGTTATACACAATGTAGTTATACAAATGTGCATTACAAAAAAGGAGAGAAACAAAGAAAAAAGAGAGGAAGAGGAGAGAGAGGATACATGAGAGAGTATGCATGAAAGAGATAAAGTAATAAAGATACACGTACATTGTAAGTGGTTATACATGTACAATGTGCATAACAAATAGGAGAGAGAGAGAGAGGGAGGAAGAAAGAGATCAAGAGAGAGGTAAAATTAATAAGTAACATCAGAGACAATATAAATGACAAATATTTTTCGTAATGTTCTGTACATGACATACATGTACTGTACATACAATGTTTTTTATATAAATATTATCTACAGTATTATGTGTGTGTACATGTACATATGTATAGTATGTACATGTACATGTATGTCACTTATACTAACCTCTCTTGTTAATAGCGTTAGGTGTCCTTGAGTCTGTGGTATCCATTGCCTCATGATAGCAAACAACTGAGATATAGTGGTCTTGGGACTAGAGGAAGAGGGAGAGAGAGGGAGAGAGAGAGAGAGAGAGAGAGAGAGAGAGAGAGAGGGAGAGAGAGAGAAAGAGAGAGAGAGAGAGAGAGAGAGAGAGTAGGAGAGAGAAGAACAAATAAGGATATAAGGATAAAGGTACATGTACATGTACATGTGTATATGTACATGTACATGTATGTTATGAAAAAGGGATAGAAGAGAGGTGCCAAAAATAGATAAAAACAATAGTACAATACTGGTTGGTAGGTATACATGTACATGTATGTATTATGTAGTAAAGAGTACAAGAGAGGAGTGGACATTTACAATCTAGAGGACCATGAAAGGTAACAAATACTAAAATACAAATGTACTTGTACTGTAGGATTAGTAAATAAAATGAATGATGTACATGTGCAGTGTTCATAAAAAGTACCAGTACATACATGTACATGTACATAAGATGGGATACGCCGACATACAAATTACATGTAATTTTTATGATATTGTGTGTGGTGACTTCCTTCCTGATATAAAAGTAATCATTATTTTAGAGTAAAAAATACAAAATAAAAACAACACATACCATCATTCTATGTATACATTATGTTCAACAAAACGTAAAAATTACACAGAGCAGATTGTTCTTAATATTAATGCCACCTTGTTAACACATATGTACATGTACATTAAGACATTCATAAATACAGCACATACACATGTGGTACTTTTGTTAAATTTTGCATAATTAAAAAACAGCTACTACTTACATGTACAAGTACATAGAATTAACAATAAGAACATCAATAAATTTAATAATAATAAATATAATGTATAGTAGACTACATAAAATTAATATAAATAGAAAAGGAGTAGACAATAAAGTACAGTACATGTACATAAGAAGCGAATTAATTATGTAGATACTAAATCATTCGTATTGTGAATGGTTTGTTTAAGACTCATACTTTGAAAGGACGTCCTGACAACTGCTACAGGTTGGATCAAAGAAACAAAGATCAGCAGCACGACACTAGAAGAGAAAGAGGGAGAGAGAGAGGGGGGAGAGAGGGAGAGAGAGGGGGGAGGGAGAGAGGGGAGAGAGAGGGAGAAAAGGAAAGAGACAGACAAAAGAGTGACAAAAATGAAGTGTAAATGAAAGAGGAGAAGGTGAGAGAGAGATACAGTAGGAGAGGGAGGAGATAAAAGGATTCAAATATAATTATCAAATCCCAAGAGTGATGTACATAATGAACTTACAGATACAGACATACACCAAGGACTACAGTTATATACCACAAAACTCATGACAATTGAACAATAAAACTATTGACAGACTAAGGGAATTTTATTGGATATCTTACAAGGGGAGACTGTGGTTGACTGTATACATTAATAACAATATACTGTATGTTGCTAAATTGACATTTCACACTTGGTACACTAGTAATAGTAAGAGTAT